TCCAGTGCAGGGGCGGGGCAGGAGCACAGTGATGAGGTAGGAGGGGGAGGGGGAAGGGGAAGGTGGGGAAGGTAGAATTTGACATTGAACCTCCGAAATGGGGTGGGGAAAGAATGATGCTCTGCAGGAGGGGTTGAGTAGTATAGGCTTGAGGAAGTGGGGGAGGGGCCAGTGCCTCTGGCAGCATGGTGCTGTGAGACACTGGCTACTAAAGCGAGAGCACAGCACCCAAAACCTATAGACATATGTAAGCTCTGTCCATTTGTCCTTACGGTGACAAAAAATTAGGTCTCAGAAAGTGGTAAGGTCAAGACTTAGTACATAGGGAAATTAGCCATTTGGGACAGATTGTATTAGACAGGCTCAATTTAAAAAGAATTTTTGTAAGAGGTATTACAGGGGCAACAGCGGATCTGACTTTGAACAGTAAGTGCCCATTTTAAAGTCTATGCCTAACCACGTGACCTAAGTCCACTCCAGAGCGTCCACCAAAATAGCTCTTAGGTCCAAATGGGGCCGTGGAAATTGAATTTCTGGTACCCCAAAACAAACAGATTTTCACCTCAGCCAAGCCCGGTCTTGCTGGTCTGACTGCCACTGGGAATCAAACCCCTGGCGTGTGCTGCGACTTCAACAGGAATCTGAAAATGATAAAAAAAAGTACAAATGGGTCCCCCCCCAAACCCTATAGCATACACAAGAAAAGGGACTCACCAAGATGCAGCCATCGTAGCCCAGAAGCCGGATTAAGTGTGGCATGGAGAACTTGAATTGTAGACTAGGGAGGCTTTCAACATGTGGCCTGCTGCGTGGAACCTCCAAGATGTTAAGAATATTTTCCTAATGCGAGCTCTCCATTGACGCAAATTTCCAATCAAGCCAAATTAAGAGATAACCAGGTTTAATGGAAGTTCTGTGCTCTCGGGTGGCACCGAGGGGCCACATAAATGTGACCACCAGGAAGAATAAAATGAGATCACATGTTCCTTTTTCGGGAGATCACTTAAATACTCTTGGGAGTGGTCCTGACCTCCTCCCACCCCGGGGAGGGGGTCAGGACCTAGCCTGCTGGGATTTGGAGTCCAGAGTGCTAAATCTCAGGGTCAGGGCGTTAGATAGGGCCTGGAGCCTAAGCTCCCAACTTAACAAGCATAACTCTTGAATCAGGAGATTTATTTGAGAGGGAAGAAAACATGAGTATGAATATCTCTGCCAGTGTGGAAAGGGGCAGCTGCATACTGAATGAGCATAGGACTTCTTAGGACCAGACTGCATCAAAAGAGATACTGATGGTGAGAATTTGCTGGATTCAAACCCTGATCCTGAAAAACTCAGAGATGGGCTTGATTTTATGCCAAGAAATTGGTTGCTTTGTGCTCAATTGGACAAGGGTAGAGTTTGTTTTTATGGTTCTGGTTGGAGAGCCAAAGTGTGTGTCTTTCACTGGTCCTTTTTAATGTTTTGGCTGTTTTCAGGGAGATGTTATTTCTTTACCTATTTCAGATTCAGAGACAAAGAACTTTCCATTGGCTCTGGTTTCAGGACCAATGTATGTTTCTTTGAATACCCTTTCTCCAACTTATAACACTTCATAAAGGGTTTGTCCATTAGATTGTTGCTTCAAACTAAAATAAAAAGAGGTATCATGATGCTTGAACAGATTGTTGACACTAACAATTTTTTTCTATACAATACAGTAGTTAACTGAATGTAAGTGGCTTCAGATTTTAAAGAATAGTTTACAATAAACCCTCAGTTTTTTCCTCAAGTCCAAAAGATTATGGTACCATGCACACACAAGCTTTATCAGATTGATTACACACAAAAAGTCTTACTAGTATATGAAGCACAAGACATTATGACACTGAATTCATTTATAGAATTTCACTACAGTATAATTTTCTTCATGTTTTTGAAAAATACACACATTAAATTCAAAGTTACCCTACAGGATGATTTATTTTATGTATTTGGAGATGATTGTGAAGAAGGATTTACCACACCGATTACATTCATAGGGTTTCTCTTCAGTATGTGTTCTTTTATACAATTAAAGAACACTGTCTCTAGCAAAGGCCTTAACACTCTGATTAAATTCATATGGTTTCTCCACAGTATGTGTTCTTTTATGCTTTTGAAGATGACTGTGTTGAGCAAAGGCCTTACCACACTGATTACATTCGTAGGGTTTCTCTCCAGTATGCATTCTTTTATGAACATGAAGATTCATTTGATATGCAAAGGACTTACCACACTGATTACATTCATAGGGTTTCTCTCCAGTATGTGTTCTTTTATGCTTTTGAAGATGATCCTTACGTGCAAACGCCATACCACACTGATTACATTCATAAGGTTTCTTTCCAGTATGTGTTCTTTTATGATTTTGAAAATTACAGTTTTGAGCAAAGGCCTTACCACACTGATTACATTCATATGGTTTCTCTCCGGTATGTGTTCTTTTATGACTGTGAAGATTATTTTGATATGCAAAGGCCTTACCACACTGATTACATTCATAGGGTTTCTCTCCAGTATGCATTCTTTTATGCAATTGAAGAAGATTGTGACGTGCAAAGGCCTTACCACACTGATTACATTCATAGGGCTTCTCACCAGTATGTGTTCTTTTATGCATTTGAAGATGATCCTTACGTGCAAAGGCCTTACCACACTGATTACATTTATAGGGTTTTTCTCCAGTATGAGTTCTTTTATGATTTTGAAAACCACGGTTTTGAGCAAAGGTCTTACCACACTGATTACATTCATAGGGCTTCTCTCCAGTGTGTGTTCTTTTATGACTTTGAAGAACACTGTGATAAGCAAAGGCTTTACCACACTGATTACATTCATAGGGTTTCTCTCCAGTATGTGTTCTTTTATGCAATTGAAGAAGACTGTGACGGGCAAAGGCCTTATCACACTGATTACATTCATAGGGCTTCTCTCCAGTATGTGTTCTTTTATGATTTTGAAGAACACTGTGATCAGCAAAGGCTTTACCACACTGAATACATTTATAGGGTTTCTCTCCAGTATGCATTCTTTTATGCAATTGAAGAAGATTGTGACGTGCAAAGGCCTTACCACACTCATTACATTCATAGGGCTTCTCTCCGGTATGTGTTCTTTTATGACTTTGAAGAACACTGTGATAAGCAAAGGCTTTACCACACTGATTACATTCATATAGTTTCTCTCCAATATGTGTTCTTTTATGCAATTGAAGATGACCATGACATGTAAAGGCTTTACCACACTGATTACATTCAAAGGGTTTTTCTTCAGTTTGTGGTCTTTTATGTGTTTGAAGAACACTGTGTTGAGCAAAGGCTTTACCATACTGATTACATTCATCCAGTTTCTCTCTAATATGTGTTCTTTTATTCTTTTGAAGATGACTGTGATCAGCAAAGGCCTTCCCATGCAGATTATATTCATATGATTTCTCTCCAGTATGTGTTCTTTTATGCATTTGAAGGTGACTGTGATGAGCAAAGATTTTACCACATTGCTTAATTTCAGAGCATTTTTCTCCAGTATGTGTTTTTTCATTCCTTAAAAGATGAGTGTTATAAGACAAGTATTTAGCACAGTGAGAATATACTGAGAACTTCTCTCCAGTTTGATTTCTTTCAATCCTGCAAGGATAATTGGCACATGTAAAAGCTTTACCACATTTAATGCACTGTTAAACTTCATATCTGTATAAATTAATTTCATATTCTTTCCAGTTGTAAAAAGGAATCAAATATTAAGGTTTTATGACTTTGCTTGAAATCATGTTTTGTTCTTTCATTAGGGGTCATTTTGCATCTGGAAAAATATTTGTGATAAATTCCTTTGTGTCATGGTTTACCTTTTATCATCTATACCTATATTTTTTCTATGATATTTTTCACATTTTTTAAGAGAACTGCATACACTGAGTGCTTTACCAACTTTTCTGCATTCATAAATTTTACTATATTGTGAATCATTATACATTTCCTAGTGAACTAAGAAACACAGAAGTATTTGCACAGACCTAGAACTCATGGGTTTTTTGTAATATGAGTTGGTTTATGTATTAACAATGATGGTAGAAAATCAATTACATGTATACTTGGATTAAATCCAATGAGTATACTCTACATGGGAAAAACAGTTTATCTTCTAATTGTTCTATAGGCGAGATATGATAAAGCTTTCCATATCCCCATGCTCATATGCTTGTGTCAAGAATAACATATAATATACATAGGAAAGGAAGAATAGTGGAAGATTTCCACATTGAATCCTCACAGTTTGACTTTCTGTTCTTCACAGACCCATGGTATAGATATTAAGGTTTCTCCACAACAACTGCCCCTTGACCCTTGACTCTAACAGCTGCTTTCACTAAAATTAGCACAGTCACAAAAAGTATATGAGTAATACAAGGCTTACCATGGGCTATTGATTTAGTAGAAAGTTTGTAGCTACACTCATCATCACTGAAATGTGTATTTTTTTTGTCATGAGTAGCAAGAAACAAATGGACTGGCAGATCTACTACATAGCTCTCATGGTGCTATGACTCAAATGGTGATATCTGTTTAGTCATTGCTTCCTTGACTTTTTCTTAAATGAAAGCCTTGAAAATGTAATTCACATACATGAAATTGAGGTATATAGATTTATGAGAATTGAATAACCATCAATGCATTTAAAGCTGTGCTTATTCACACTGTTGCTTTTGCTTAAAAGTTCCAGGACACATCACAAACTCATCAGAGACACATTGTTATGAATTTGCACAAGAAAATTACCTTGCATATCTTCTAGAACATTGACTATGTTCTTCAATGTTACAGTCTTCCCAAATGTATCCTAAAATAAAGTACCAGAATATGTAAGTGATATTATTTAACATTGTGCAACAATTAGCTTATTATCTTAAGTGCACCTAAGAATTATGACTGCATTGTTCACCTCATTTTTTCTTCCTAAATCAAATTACAGAACAAAATCATAAACCAAGAAAAAGTCGTCCTTATTTTGAAACATGAAGGAAATTAATTTTTACCTATAGTAGTTAGGTTTCTGAAGGTCTCCAGCATCACATCTTCATAGAGCTTCTTCTGGGAAGGATTCAGCAAATCCCACTCTTCCTGAGTGAATTTGATATATACATCATCATAGGTCACTGCCTTCAAAAATATACCACACATGTGTAAATGTAAGCATGACAGTGACAACATTGGAAATGCATACTTCTTTGGAAGTATAGTTGTATTATTCTGGTGTTCATTACTCTTATTTCAAGACATAGACAGTCACTTTAGAAGAACATTTAAAAAAAGAGACAATTCTATCATTTCTCTACACTTTGAATGGAATTTCACCTTTAAAGAGCAATGTCTATTAACAGGGAGAAAAAAGTCAACAGTACATCATATGCATGAGAAAATTTGTATGAAAAATTACTGACTATAAAAAGATGGACAAACTGGGTGTATTGATGTATTGTGCCTTTAACAACAACACTCAGAAAAATAGAGGTGGGTATATTTGTCTCTGAGTTGAATGCCAGTCAAGTCTATGCAATTGGGTCCAAGAGAGGCGGAAGACCCTCTCTCCATTGTAAACCTCAATGTTACAAACAATGGGACAGAAAAACTAAAAGGCTTTTATTGAAGTTCCTACAAAGAGTTGTTTTCACTCCATTTCTGTATTCATCTTCCAGACCCCTGAAGTACCCTAATATAAACTGTAATACCAATAACATTTTGTAGAAAAAGAACTTCCTGTATAAAACAGTTATAAGTGGACAGATGAAAACAATTGAAATATAAGTGTTGGTCATAAATAATCAACATAGAGCTGGAGAGAGGGCAGAGTAATACAGTCTTAATGGATCTTAAATGTAGGTAGACACATTTGCCAGTAGTTACATGGGAATCACAACTTTCCATTTTTCCATGGTCAGGATTTTTGAGATCCTTTGATTACTCTGATGACCAGGTATCCATATGGTGCATATCCAGGCAGACACAGAAAATAGTCATAGTGATTTAAAAAAATAATCTCCCCTTCCCCACTAAATCCATACACAAGGAGGCTCAGAAAACAAGGGCCACTGCCAACATGAACCACATGGACCAACATAACTACAGTCTGGATCATGGTCCATCCAAGTCACAGTGGAAATGACAGTTCAACAGACCTGCTCTGAACACCTTCCACTCATTACAGGATAGCTTATAGTCTTCCTTACCACTCTCTACAGCAGAGACAGAAGAGACTCGTGAAAAGAACTCACAAACTGTCTGCCACTAGTACTCTTGATTGCTAACCCTTCCCAGAATCCGTCACTGGCTAGGGCCACCCAGCTGGGCCTCACAATATTAGCAGCTCCTCTACAGGAGGATCAGAGATCAAATGACTCAGACAGCACAGGTCTTCCATGTCTGCCTTCCCAGCCCAGCAGACAGGGCCCCAGTTTAGAAGGTTTGTATTTAGTACACATTATTCCACTCTCCTAGAGCACATGCTGTTCCTCATCTAAAGCACAGGGTCCTTTGTGTGCACATTCCATTACACATTCACTTTCCAGTGCAGCCATCCCATTGCCTCAGAGATGGAAAATCCTGCAGAAAAACACAGGTCACATTCATAAAGTAACTGTGGTTACTTTGTAACTGTTGTTAAAGAAAAACAGACCATGAATTAGGAAACAATCCAGGCATATTAAGGCTTGGAGGCAGCAAGGAGAATGTAAATATGATGTAGTTGTAATCTCAAAAATTATTTTGAAAACTTGAAATAGACTTTATGGTCATGTACTCCAGAGACTAGGAATTTGTATTAGAGCACATTAAAGATTTCTCATGTATTTTCTCTAAAGATCAATGTCTTAATGCAGAAAAGTTCTGTTAAGTATGGGGCACAACATTTTACCCAGATCTTCTATTTTAGATGAATTACTGTAAATATAGCAATTAGGTCTCAAGATAAGGTCAGGCCCTTTCCCAGATTCTTGATTGCCATGGTCTGTGGACTGCAAACAGTGGTCAATGAGGACATACATAGAGCATCTACAATTGACTACCTGATTCCACATAGCTAATCTCAACTACTGTTGAAGGAGGAAAGCTCTTGCCCTCAGTCCAACCTCTCCCTTTCTGCACTGTGTCTCCACCAGCTTCAATAAACTATTTTACCTACTGTGGTCTGAAGACAGAAGGAATGTTCCATATGCAAATCATTTCCCTGCAACTGCATTGCATAGTCAACTACATGACTCAAATGCATACTTTTAAAACTGTGAGGTTTTACAGGCATTTTTAAAAGGAATTTTTAAAGTGTAATGTTCAGGACAGCAAGGTCATTGCCCTGGACAGCAACAGAGCAAGGCCACCTAAGTCAACATGAGAGAATTTGTCTCAGAAACAGTTTTTCTAACAGGATGTAAATACAGCTGTTCTAGAATTAATATATCTTTCCATTGAGAAATCACATCACACACTTAGGGTTCCAACCTGTAATGCCTCCTTGAAAGGCTTGATAGAGATTGTTCTTTGATATGGGGATTGTTGGACTAGAAGTCCAAACATCAGGGAGGAGTTGCTCCAGACATCACTCACATAACCAGAATTGATGTAAAAGCAAGAGGATTTTTATTCTGTCATGACAGGGCCCTTCAGGTTCAGGATATGAAAGACCCCCAATAGCTGTTACAGCCCATCTTTTAAAGCGAAAAGCCATAGACACAAGGGGGGAACCTGAAGGTTGTTTTCCAACTTACTGGATTGGTTTATTCAAAGGGTTACTAGCAGTGATTGGTCTATCCCAGGGCAGGAGAATAGCTGTCCGATCGGGTCAGATAAAGGGGAGCATCTGTGAGCCATCCTAACCTTTTCCCAGTGACTGAATCAATACATCAGGAACTGAGTCAACATCTGTGGGTTGTCTTTGCCTCAATTCCCAGAATGGAGTTATGTTTGAAGATTCTTCACAAGGATACAGGAGGATGAGCAGTCCAGCATGTGTGTGTGTGGGCGACTGTCCCATTTCCAAATGGTAAGAAGCTTCAGAAAATGTCTTTAGAGCTGAGAGGCCTCAGAAATGCATTCAGAGTCTTTCATTCCCTCCTCTTCTTTTGCCGAATCCCAATCTTGGGATTCTCTGAGGTCTCTCTTGAGAGCCTGATATTAGTGGGTCAGTACTAAAGCTTGGGTAATACTGAGTCAATCACGAATGAACATCAGGAGTGAGTGGAAAATGGAAGGTCCAAAAGTTAAGAGGAGTAGCAAAATGAGTAAGGGGCCGGTGTTGCAAGCCTATCATAGGTCAGTAGAGGGCTCTGGGTACCTATTTTCTGCAGTCCTGGGACTGGAAAGAATCTGGTTACATAGGTGTTGATATTGTCTGGCTGGGGTTTTTAGACATAGTCTCTTTTCAGATACTTCTGTCAGGATCTGCTTTTTCTGGTGTCCCCTATTACAGGGAGCATGAGAGGTAATATTGCTGAAATTTCTAGAGGAGGCTATCCCCGTATAATAGGGAGGCCCTGGTACCAAACAAAGCCAACAGAATTTTGTAGGGGTTTTAAGGGAGGGAGCCGGGAAACGATGGGGCCTTAGGGCTTGGTGTGGTGCTTAGGGCCCCTGCAAGAGGGGGTTAGGCTCCCCCACCTTGTCGAGTTTGCTTACCCACCCCCAACAAATATATCAGTCACAATGTCTACATGCAGGATAAAAGTCCTGGAGAGTTCGTTTGGCATTATTATTTGTTTCAAGAGTCTTTTGTTTAGCTTTGTGTGTGCTGAAGCTTTTATCTGGAGTCGTCCTGTGGAGGTGCTTGCTTCACATGAGATGAGTGGATCCAGGCTGCAATGTCATCTACTTTGAGAGCAGTGGGTGTCATAAGGAGCATGGCATAGGGTCCCTTCCAGGGAGGTTTAAGGCTCTAGGACTGATGTCTCCGGACATATATGGAATCACCAACGGATGTGAAATCTCTGGGTGTCCAGGCTGGTAGGCAGCAGCCAGAGGCTTCCACACCTGGACTTGGACAATCGGGAAGGCCTTTAGGTGGACAGATAACTGTCTGGGAAGAACAGCATCAGGATTATGTACCTCATCCACCTTAGTAAGCGGTGGCAGCCCTCACATAGGATCTTGTGAGGAATGAGTTTAAATTGCCCAGGAGTGTTTTGAACCCAGAACAGGACAGAGGGAGGGAGGTCTGTCCAGTCATTTTTGCTGTTCTTCAGGGTCAATTTTGTCAGGGTCTCTTCTAGGGTTCTATTTATCCTTTCTACCTGACCTGAGCACTGGGGTCGGTAAGCACAATGCAATTTTCAATTGATCCCCAGTTGGGTAGTCAGTCCCTGACTTACCTGGGCAACAAAGGCAGGTCCATTATCAGACCTGATTACCTTGAGCATCCCAAACTTTGGGAAGATTTCTTTTATGATCTTCTTAGCCATTACATGGGCTGTCTCAGTCCTAGTCAATGTATGATGGCTACCTTTTTTGGTAAATGTGTGGCCTTGAAGAGGCTCAAAATTTCCACAGATGTCAACAGTCCTCTTTGTCTGTATATTGTTCCATGTATATGTGTATATGGGTGGTGGCAAAAGCATACCTGCTGTCAGTTTAGACATTCCCTCTGCCATCGTAGAGCTTGTATCAAAGCTGCTACATCCACGGCTGTCATGCCAGTGTAGCAGAAATGCTGACTGGACGGGCAGGTGTTGCCAGAGGATTGGGATCTGTGCTTCTCAGAGCTGTGTTCCAGGTGGTCTCTTGGCAATCAGTTGTGGTGTAATGCCACCTGAGTCACCATTTGCACTGACTCAACTTGGAGCCATATGTGTGTCTTTTTCCTTGTCTTTGTATTCTTTGTGATCCTTGCATATTGCTAACAGATCAGACTATTCCAGGCAGTTGCGGATACAAACAAGACTGCTGAGGACATTTTTGAGCTCTGCCCCATTATTCATTAAAGCCTTAAAAGAAGTAGCCAGTTCTGGGAATTGGCAGGGTCATCATTAGGACAATTCCTTGATGATGTGGAACAAAAAGAGTTAATTTTACCAGGAAAAACCTTAGAAGCCTTCTGTAGGAAAACAGCTGCAGCAACACTAAATATTTGCCTGAGAAATATGTGCAGTTTAATAGGAGGGCTATGCAGCCTTCCTTATGGCCAGAGTAAACCTAGGCTAATTACAACATCTGACCCTGAGAGTCGGGAAGGG